CAGTGGTGGGTTTCAAAAAATTTTGGAACCTCTTCTCTAGATGTGGCCTGCTTCCCGGATCCACTGGTGGAACCTCTTCTAACCGGTTCGGTAGATTTGATGAACCGGTTCTACCGAATAGGTGCGAACTGGTAGGAACCCACCTCTGGAATGTGGCCACCTCATTAAGATTTAAGCAGATGGACCGAGACCAGGGCTATGCAGAGATCCAGATTTAAATATTATTTGGAGGGGCAAATGTGGGCAATGCCCTTTGCACCTATCAGGAACACCTTAAAGCAGCCATGCAGGTTCCTGGGACATGTTCCATACACGTGGGGTAACTTGCAGGAACTCTTTGAAAATGTATGCTGGAGCAGTCCAGACTTTCTGACTAAGGAGCCAAATTCTACAATCTCTATACATTATGCAAATGTTCACCCTTTCTCATTTTTCTTGTGGTTTTCCAAACGCTGAAAAATCTTGCCTGCTTGCAGTTCACTTTACATTTTCAAGGCTGCTGTTATAACCATAAGCTCTAGAAATTTGCTTGAAAGCAAGAAAGTTGAGATCCTGCTCTTAATTCCAGCATGTTTTTCCTCCTTGAAAACAGAAGGCCTACCCTTGAAGTTGACTTATTTTCAGGATACGGCCTTTCCATCTTTTTGTGTGAGCCCTCATCAACTTGAGATTATAGCCTTGTGCAAATGAGCCTCTGCCGTCGTCTCTTCATGTGGCTTGGCATGCAGAGACGTGGCCTCTCTCTGACACATACACATAGGCTTTATATGGGCTGCGGATGCTTCTTTGCATGAGAAAAGGCCATCCCCATCCTATGTGTTCAGCAGCCCCGCAAACCTGAGATCTTAAGTTATCGGCATTTCCGCGATCAGCCTTTTGACAGGCAGCTCTTGCCACGTCTGATTTTTATTCCCTGGGCTTCCTCCCAGCATTATCCTGGCCTAGCTGTAATTTTCTTTGCTATTCCAGGCACGAAATGTCTATAATTTTACCGCCACTCCCACTTTGTGGTTGGAGCGGAAGGGGTATACTTTACTTGGTCTCAGGAGGGGTGAGGATGATGGTAATAGTGGTTCTGCTCAGATTTCAGGCTCTGGGCCTGAAAAACAACCAAACCCCCCCCCCCTCCTCTGGATTTGGAAAGTTTTTTTTTAAAAAAAAAAGTTGAATCAGGGCTGGAAGGAGCTGCCTGTAAAGCAGGCTCTTTGGCCCAGGATTAAATGGAGCAAACTCAAAAGTGACTTCGTTTCTCACCCCTGCAGAGAGTTTGTTGCGTACATCCAGCAGCCCAGAGAGCTTGCGCTCCCGAGCTCCCATCCTCACTCCAGATCAAGATTCAGGCACCCGCCTCTGGCATCTGGTCAAGAACCACGAGCATCTCGGAGACCCCAAGGAAGGGGAGCGAGGGAGCAAGATGGTTTCTGAGATCTACCTCACTCGGCTCCTTGCCACCAAGGTATGGTTGGAAGAGAATTGGATCATGGAGTTAGTAGGCAGGCTTTAGTCTTCGCCCTACATCAGCCTACAACCGGTTCACCCACAAATGCGCAAACGACAAAAGCGCGCCTGACTAAACCGCGGTGACAAAACCGCGCCGACAAAAGCGCACCGACGAATGAGCGCTGAAGCGTGCCAACAACAGCGCGCTGACAGAAGCGCACTGTAACCCTAACCCTAAACCTAACCCTAAACCTAAACCTTACCTTAACTTAAATCGCACTTCTGTTGGTGCGCTTTTGTCGTCGCACTGTTGTCGGCACACTTTTGACATCGCGGTTTTAGCGCCGCGGTTTTGTCGGCGTGCTTTGGTCGTTCGCGCATTTGTCGGGTCACGCCTACAACCTACATTAACCCTACAACCTACATTAACCCTACAACCTGGACGCATTCAGGCAAGATGGTCTAAGTTTAAATCAAGCCTTTATTTTATTTATTTGCTTATCTAGTGTCTGTGCTGCCCATCTCACTGATTCAGTGACTTTGCCGGACTTATAATAGAATAAAAACCCAGTGCTAAACAGCAATTAAAATTAGAAAAATTGAATAGAAAAATTAAAAGCCAGGTTGATGGGTGGCCTGTGGATGAGAATCTTCTCTACCCCGTCAGCCACCCACAACATAGCAAGCCCCTGTCAGGGCCCTAGACCAAGCAGCAGAGCCAGATTTTTAGGCTCTTCCAGAAGGCCAGGATTGTGGGGGAAGACATCTCCAACTGGAGAATATTCCAGACGGCAGGGGCCACAGCAGAAAAGGCTCTTCTTCTGAACCCTGCCTGCCAAAATTCTTCGGTTGATTGGTCTCTTTCATTGGAAGGTAAGATATTGCACAGTTTCAGAACCAGTCCTTTAATAGTCGACCAAGAGCCTTTGTTTGCTCTATAACTCTGCTAAACTTTGCTAAAGAGACATTTCTCCAAATTTTCTCCCCAGAATTTCAGTTTTTGTTCAGTCTTGCCAAATTCTCCACATAGAAAGCCTGAATGTCCCTTCCAAGTGGAACGTTGTTTAACCCACCTCCTATCTAGCAACAGGAGCAGGAATATTGGTTCCCTTGCTCTAGACTCTATGCTCTTCTGTCACATTTCAATGCTTGCCAGCTGACATCTAAATAAAGTTTCAGGTGCTTTATTGGCACTGTGCAACATCAGATCTGGCAAAAATCAAAGCTGTAAATTGCCAGCTGTAGTGAAAAAGAAAAGCAAGTACCATTTGAAGTCTTGAATTGTAGTTGTGTATATTTGTGTTCCCTCTCTGTGTGCTTGATTTGATTACACTATTGTTATCTGGAACTTTGTTGTAATATCATTTGGTAATATATAGTGATGCTATCAAGATCCTCACAGGGCAATTGTTCCCATGTACTTTGGCAATAACCACAATAATTTAAATTGATGGGAAAGGGGCTTCTGTTGAAATGTAGATGCAATTTAAGATTGTGGATTTTGAAGGGATTAATGTTATAGTTCCAAATCAGGGCCATTTGATGCAGATTTATAATCAAACTCTAGTAACAGAGTATGAGAAGAGCTGGGAAAGAATATCTGGAACAGAACACTTCGTTATTTTTCTGGGAAATATTGAGATTATTCTCTGACAGCTGTACTGATTTTATTTTCTGTGGGATCCTAATAAGGACCTTAGCTTTTGCAAAATTAATTATTCTTCCTTTGCATAATTTATCAAACTATTTCATACACATTGATCTAGACACCATGTGGCAGTTTTCAGATCATGTGGTATTGAGGAGGCAACTGAAAAAATGGGCCAGTTTGGGCATCTAGTGGAAGCAATGAGGGACAAACCAAATGCATTCTTGAGGAATGCAAGATTGGCTTTGCCAAAGCAGCTGTGTACATTTTTCTCCAAGGTTATGAAGCCTTAAAATCTGGTAATGAAATTGCCATTTTCAGGATATAGGAAGAACTCCTCAGATAGATATTGTAAGCCCCCCCCCCCGAGTTGTGTGCTGAGATGGACAGCTATAGAAGTGAAATGAAATCAATCAATCAATCCATCTTTATAGATTCAAATCACAGCCTCTACTCTGCCAGATGTTCCACCTACCAAGTTTAATGGAAAATCTCCCATTGTTGATCACTTCTGTCATTTTTGTTTGGTGGAATTTTGGTACTTCTTAATGGGGGGGAGGGGGGAGTTAGGAAAGGCTGTTGTGATATCCCCAGATTAACAAGTTGTTCTTTCCAACCTTCTCAAAAGATACATTCCAGAAGTATTTGTCTTTTCCAGGGAACGTTGCAGAAGTTTGTTGATGATCTGTTTGAGACAGTGTTCAGCACAGCACACCGGGCCAGTGCCCTCCCCTTGCCTATCAAATACATGTTTGACTTCCTGGATGAACAAGCAGAGCGGAGACAGATTGGTGATCCTGATGTTCGACATACCTGGAAAAGCAACTGGTGAGAACTCTGCATTTTGGTTTGTTGTCAACACATGCTATGGCTGTGTGCCTGTGAACCCACAGCTGGAAACCCACAGCCTAGCCTGACTGAGTACCTATCAGTCTGCTTTAACTCAGGTGTTTCCCAGAGTTCACTCAGCTTTAAGCCAAACCAAAGCCACTCTTCAAAAGCATCTAATGGAACAATGAAAGTCAACATCAGCCTTTAACTCCCTTTCATTTTCTCTTCTTCTTGCAAACAGATGATTTGGCTCAAGCGATGACAGTTCTTCCAATACCAATGTCTCTTTCCATTTACCTCTCTCTCAATTCTAGTTTGCCCTTGAGGTTTTGGGTGAATGTCATCAAGAACCCACAGTTTGTTTTTGATATTCACAAGAGCAGCATCACGGACGCTTGCCTCTCCGTTGTGGCCCAGACCTTCATGGACTCCTGCTCCACCTCTGAGCACCGCCTGGGCAAGGATTCCCCTTCGACAAAGCTATTATATGCCAAGGATATCCCTGTTTATAAAGGCTGGGTAGAAAGGTGAGGTGCTGGATAAGTTGGGTGGGTGGGGGGATATGGATGATGAAACAAAAACAAAACACAATTGCTCCGTTCACAGTATATATTGTAACCAAACAAATAAACTCTCTTACTTATTAATATACGTGACCTGACAAATGCGCGCCCGTCAACAGCGCAGTGATAAAACTGTGACATCGACAGCACGCCCACAAAGGCGCACCAACAAAAGAGTGGCGATAGAAGCGCGATTACGGTTAAGGTAAGGGTTAGGGTAAGGGTTAGGTTTAGGGTTAGGTTTAGGGTTAGGGTTAGGTTTAGGGTTAGGTTTAGGGTTAGGTTAGGTTTAGGGTTACCTGTAGGGTTACCTTTAGGGTTAGGTTAAGAGCGCGCTTCTGTCAGCGCGCTGTTGTCGGCGCGCTTCTGTGGTCATTCATTGGCGCGATTTCNCTCCACATCCTCCAGAGCCGACTCATAGGGCCCCTTGCTGTCGGAGTCTGGTGGCAGCTCCAACGGCTCCTGCTGGGCCACAACACTTGGCATACCATTGCTGGTAGATTATATTATCACCAGACAATGGGGTATCTTCAGGACATGGTTTTTTTTTAAAAGTCAAGATAGCAACCACAGTGTGACTGAAACGCTTCCTGTAGTTTAACTGTATTGCATATGAACAGGGAGCTTTGATTGCATCATCATGGCCATCATTTTGATTTTCTGTTTTAACCATAACCCATAGACCTCCAGTTAGTCATTCTGAGACTGGTGTGTGATTGCTTATTTTTATGGTGATGTAGCTTCATTTAAGGGCTTTTCTACAGGCATGGAATAAAACTAACCTGGTAGGTAGAAGGAAGGGCAATGAAAAAAGGAATTTCCTGCAAATACAGAATAATCTCCCTTGCATACAACTGTCATCCATCGGAAGGATAGAATGATTGGGGAACCTGCTTTTTTTGGGGGAGGGGGGTTGCAAGAACTTGTAGTGTTATATTTTAGGATGGTTCAGTGATGCCAATCATCAAGAATTGGTAAAGTACAAGAAATCTGGATGGGCTCATTCACAAAGGCTTCCTGACTCAGACATTCTGGTTAACATGCACATAGCAAAACTAAACAGTGCTGTGTTATTAGGACAAGGTTACATGTGAATTCTGGTTTGGTCCTTCACTTTCATAAAGGGACTTAAATAACTTCCTGTTGTAAGGGAGATGTTGTGAATTTGGATGTCTATACACATGCATTAACACTCTAATTTGTTTATTTTAATATGTATTCTTTGCACTTTTTCATGTTAAATTTTCTCCCCTCCCCTTTTCCTGTTTGGTATGTGTGGGGACGATGCCCTGATTACCTTACTGTATTTCATCAATTGAAGCATTCAGACCCTATGCAGAAGGGATTAGAAAGAGCAAAACAAATCCCTCCATTCCTTGAGCTTTCTGGGCTGTAATTTACACAAGCCCCATCAGTCTTCCTTCATTCCAGGAACCCATATGTCTGGACCAGAAGAGCAGATTTTTAGCAGCAGTTCTGCCAGCTTTCCTAAAAGTTACAGCCAAACTTGCTCTGTGCATTTAATTGGCAGCCTGGCCATTCTGTTTTATTAGGGATCTCTTTCAGGTGAAATACTCAATGTTTATTAATCAAACAATTCTCACTAACTAAATTAAAAGATACAACTCTTAAGCAAAAATACATAATTTGTTTTCAAATAATGCTGCATGTATGTAATAATAGCATCATCTTTGTCAAAATGCACTGCTTACTCTTTCTTAAGTACTTACAAGCTGTAGAATTCTATATATAGAGTCTGATTTATTGAAAATATATTTTAGTTCATTTTAAGAGAATCAACTAATCCACTTTTTATATATCCAGCTGAATGGAGCTGTCCAGTAAAACTTAAGTTTTAAAGATTGCAAAGTGATGATGTTGTGCTTTGTAGAACTGTCTTAACTTTAATTACTGGAACTGGGGTGGGGAGGTGGAGGCTGCAACACAGGATGTGAAGCACTGTGCATTGATGTCTCTGATTGAACTGGGTGGAATATAGGTAGGCTACCAATGTATTCTTCCCTCCCTTTGGTGTGGAGAAGGGTCTACGGGATTATTTCAGGAGCTGCCACAACCCAGGAGATGAGACTTTGACTAAATTAAAATTTTTGCAGTTGATTATCTAGAGCTGGGGTGTCAAACTGGTGGTCCATGGGCCAGATGTGTCTAGAGGTTGAAGCCCACACATTTTAAAGGCTCTGAAATTGAAAAACACTGATCTGGATGATTAGCAATTGGCTCATGATGTTTCCTGCCTATGCTCAGTGTTCCAGAGCAGAACCAACTTCAAAACTGTTTAGAAGGATTGGAGTATGGGAACAATATCATATGGAAATATCACAATTATCCAGAGTCTCAGGCAGCTGAGGGTCATTCAATAACATGCTATATATAGTGAACCTTTTAAAATGGAAATATTTGGGATCTTCATGCAAACTTCCAGTTATATCTTTCAACTTCAAGTCACTAAAAGAAATGGTCTAAAATTAGCAAAATCTCAAAGTTACTTACTAGCTATTGTGTAGTATTTCCTATCTATTTTGCTAGAAACATAGTATATTAGACTCATGAAATTATGTAAGTATAAAGACTCAATTGCTCCCTTGGAAAGATAAAAAGGTTAACCATGGTAATCTTGTAATAGAAGTGTCAAATGAGTAAGAGTGGGAATTTCCATAACTAAATGAGCCACTGCATTTTGCACCAGCTTCAACTTCAGAATGATATTCACATTTGGTACACAAGATATAATTGTACTTCCGGTCACAGCTTCTACCTCCTGTATTGACTGGATCTGTAAATCCAGAAAGCTCTTAGTTATACTAAGTTATACAAACTAAGCAGTGACTTTTGCGGCAAAAGAAAGAAAGCGCCAGCCCGCCAGCTGAGACCTGCCTCTGCTGGTTGGCTGCCTCGACACAGAGAAAGAAATCTGGAGGGCTGCCCTCCCTGCCTCTCCTACCCCCTTCCCTCTCTTCTCAAACAAACTCTCCCTCAAATTGAGAGAGTTTGAGTGAAGAAACAAACACATGCACACACGCACACACACACATACACACACACAAATTACTTACAATTACTTACAAATTACATTAATTTTGAATTCCTCCCCTTCCCTCTGATCCACATACCTTTTCTAGCTGTTTCACAATCACAGAGGATTTCAACTCTGCTCTTGCCTGCCATCATGAAAATGTAGAAATATAAAAGGAAAAAGACCAGAGCTGCTGAGGTCAGGCTGGGTTAGCTGCTGCCAGAGTCTTAAGCAGTTAAGACTCTGCTTAACTGTTTAAAAAAGCCTCTAAAAATGCCCTCTACAGGAGGAGGCAAGAGAACCACGTGCCTCATCTACATAAGGAATTTTTCAGCTTTTAACCCTTGCTTAACTCTGCTCGAGTGATCATAAAGTCAGACTAAATGAGGCACGTGGTTCTCCCGCCTCCTCCTGTAGAGAGCACTTTTTTAGAGGCTTTTTTAAACAGTTAAGCACTAAGCAGAGTCATCCACTGTGACTCTGGCAGCAACTACCTCAGCCTTTTTCCTTTTACATTTTTTTTCTTTTCATGATGACAATGGTGAGGCTCTGCCTCCCCTGCCTCCCCTGGCTGCATGTCACTGAAACTAAGTTTGTCAAAACTATTATAAACAGATCTCTCCCAGGCTCAAGATTGGAAAGAAAATAGGCCAGAGGATCAGAGAGGAAATTCAAACTTTGAAGCAGATATATACTATTTGAATCTTCTCTACAGAAAAGTAACTTTTCTAGCTGCATTGTATCACTGAGCTTCTGCCATAAGCAATTCCTAAATACAAAATTAAGTGCCTGGAGAACACTTTTTATCAGGGTTAGATCGAAGTCAGTCAATGCTGCTTGTCCATTATAACTGTTATTGAGGCAATTGAAGGTTTGTTAAAGGTGCAGGGCTAAACAGAGCTAATGGAATCCTGTGTCTTTGGGTCCCAAGATGGACACTACTAACAACTTTCCCCCAGCCTACACAATTTGTATGCTGGAAATGAAAAAGACAAATAATTTAAACAAATTCTGATACTAATTTACAAACTCATAAATTAAAAGTTTTTAAACATTTTAAAATTCACAGGCTTCCTGTGTTTTTGTTCAATGAAAAGTGGCACTCAAAGTTGAGGTAATCAGCTCTTTGTATAATAGCTGCTTCACTCTCAAATTCCACCTCTTTCTTGTGGAGATTTGGTTTCCATAGCAAAGAGGCCTCTTTAACTTTTGATTTATATTGAGACATTTCTCTTGTCTATCTCCTATAAACGAGTACTCAAGCCCACTATTTTCGTTTTATTTTGTCTTGTTTTGTTTAATCTATTCCTAAAGTTTTGCTTATTTAAATTCTTTTGAGCTAATTGCCATTGATCATTAAGCACATATAAATAAATGCTATTCCACCTTAATAGCAAGGCGTTTGCTATGAAAGTTAACCTAGCTGGTATTAGTTTAGTATTGTATTAGCATTAGCATTATGGTATTAGTTATTTTCCCCGTTCATGAGGCTGGTGCTGGGCTTTTACAAGACAGGCAAATCTCATAAGTAGCTAGAAAGTCTGAATTGAATCATTGATTTTAATGAAGGAAGTGAATAATTCTTAAGGTAAATGTGGCATTCATTCCCTTCTTCTGTATGACAAATAACATACTATCTGTGTAAATAAAGTTGCCATTGCTAGCTAGAGATATTTTGCCTGCCCCTCTCTTTATTTGAATTTAACAAGCTGTTGTTAAGAAAGGCTAAAGATGCTTGCCAGCAGCCAATTTTCCTCTCTGCTCTTCTCCATGGCTGATTTAGCAAAACATTCCATAAATCTTGCCATTCCTGCCTTCTCGTTGGGCCTGTTGTGCTAAAGCTGAGTTCAGCTGTCAACTTCAGCTCTGACTAGATTGGACCACCCACGTTACCAGCAAGTGCTTTGAGCTTCTCAGGCCTGAAACTTGACAGT